TGCTGCCTGCTGCTGCCGCCGTTGTTGTTGTTGTTTTTGTTGCTGTTTTCAAGCACTTCATGAATATTTCGCGACATGAAAATGATTTCAAAGAGGTGTTCAAATCAATAGTACAACACTCTGTCGCAGTCAGTGTCGTTTACTTTTCGGAAGATTTTTTATTTGTATTTCTGAAGGTAGCTAATTTTGGTGTTGTTCGCCACGCTCCACGCATACATACTAATGAAATCCGTAGTGCATGTAATGGACACCAAATCATTAGAGTGAATGAAATAAGTGTTAGTCGACCGAATGAGACACATGCACCGAATTTTGAACCCAACAGCGAATTAAATCAGTTTATGATTCGGATAGGGAACACGACCAAACATTTAATTGCTTTTAATCCCCAATAATTTTGTTTCTCTTTACTTTTCTGTAAGTCATTTGTTTCTTTATGCACTAATTCCATTGAGTAACACAATTATTATAAGCAATAAAAACCATAAACGATTTAATTTCAACACATTGATCGACCGGACATTCAACAAAGACTGACTAAAACTCATTTGATTCTTATGTCAAGAATTGCAATGGAAATTTGAAAAAAAAATTGAAACAAAATAAAAAATCACGTTTCTCTTCATTTCCAACAACGTTTTTTTTTTTGCGGATTGCAATGTTAGGAAAATTCATTGACGCCTTTCAATCCATAACAAAAGACAAAATTTGTCGACGTCGCAACATTGGGTTGAGCAACGTTTTCGGCATTTATTTTATTGTGGTCCGAATGACGCCAATGGTGTGGATCACACTAGATTGGCATGTTTGTACACTTTTATATAAACTGTTTAGAAAGTAGTGAATCTTGCTTTGAATGCACCTGCATCGAACTGTTTTCCAGCCCGTTTCAAAGAAAGTGTGCACACACATCTTGTGCATTGCCCAATGTAAAAATATTTACGTTTAAAATTTGTGCCTTTTGTTTTTGTCCCCATTTAGGCGGATGTGAGTGTGTCTGCGTGCATTGTTTTATCGTTAAATTTTCTATTTTCGTCGCTCAAAACCGTCGAATAATGCCGATGAGTTGCATAATGATCATTTTCCTGAAATAATTTGTTGCAATAACAAGAAAATATAAAGTTGATTGATAAGCGGGGTTGTCGATTAAATTTCGCACTTCATGAAATCAAATCCGATAGTTATTTTCAAAAAGTCAACCAAGAACAATAATCATGTGCTCGGTTAATAATTAAGCTGATGTTTAGGTGCCACTTTACGAATTATGTTCATTTTAGCGTACGGAAACTACACGCATCACAAAACGCTGAATTGAATTTATTGTTAACTCATCACAAAAATAAAGGTGATTATGCGAAAATGAATATGACTAAAAATACGTTCAGCAAAAAAAAACTGAGAAAGGCGGATTTTAGCATTCGATTTCATTTTAATATGTACTTCCCCGTCGATGAAGTAGCGAGATTCCCTATCGTTAAAGGGAAAAAAATAATTCAGCAATGCCACAGCTTTTTTTTTATGTCAACCATGTATCATACGTATTATCAATTGTCATAAGCCGACGCAAGTGAATTACAACATACGGTGGAAATTTTGCATATACGCAAAATTTGCGGATAACTTATGTACGTTCACACAAATGTGACTCATTGTGGTATTTCATTGTGCCTGCGGCTTCGGTGAATCCGTTCAGCATGGACATTGTGAACCGCTGCAATTCAAGTGTTTATTCTCTAGCAAAGTGGTTAGATTCTTGTTGGTATTTTCCTTGTTTTGTCTCCTAAGCGGAAAAACCAGTTTCCAGATCCAAAAATAACCTGTAATTTACATGCAAATTTCAATTAAATGTCATGCTCTGTGATCATGATTTACAAAAACATTACGCCATCGAAAACACACCAAATAATCTATGGTCATTTTACTTTCGAGTAAATTCTTTAGGCAAATAACTCGTTTTTCCATCCACAAATCGTTACGCACAGTCACTCATTCATTCGCTTGCAGTTGCAAGTGTTTTAAATCTCGGTGCATAGATTTTTAACTCCAATCCATTTGACACTCGTTAGATATATATATTTACACATACCGTTGACAAAGTCAAAACCAGTCTCACCGGCTCAAGATTCATATCGAACAGATATTTTTACAGCATCAACCATCCAACTCGTATGCCATTTTTTGTTTTTCTTTATGCTTCAACTTTGATTGTTTTGTTGAAAACGCAATGATACTTGGCATTTGAGAACTATTTCCTCATAGTCAAAAGTCAATGTGACGCCAGATTTCTTCATTCCGACGTTAAAATTCATGTTGAGAATGAATTCTTGTGAAATGAAGCAAGTGATAATTCAGCGTCGCCACACGTATTTATGGAGTGAATTCAAAACAGAAAGAAAAAAGTTCAAGTTCCAAACAAAGATTTCGTTCATTTATTCAATTATTTCAGTCATTCATTTCAGTGCGCAGTAAATTGCAGTGCATTGGTTTGTTTTCATGCTCCCGGTATCAGATTCTTTGCACTTTGCAATTTTATTCATTGTTTCATTTGCTTCATTATGCGCGCTTGCGCTTTGCCACCACCACCATGTGATGCATGTGCACTTTAAACAGCAACATAGTAATTAACATACGTTAACATGACGGCAATCAAGCATTGAAACGGCAACAGTGTCAGCATCAACAGCAGCAGCAGCAGCAGCAGCAGCAGCAGCAGCAGCAGCAGCAGCAGCAGCAGCAGCAGCAGCAGCAGCAGCAGCAGCAGCAGCAAAGAACAAAGGGTGTTTACGCATTTTTAATGCGAAATGTCACATAAACAGAGGGATTCACATCCGTATAAATTCTGTTTTTTCGTACGGATGATACACACGTATGCGTAAGATGAATCGTGATCATTTAAATTGAATCAGCACAACACTGTCGGAATTCCTGATTGTCAATGAATATTTTATTGTTCGTTAAATCCTTCACATTAAATTCATATCAAGCGCAAAACATTGAATGGAAACGATGTAAAGATCAATACAATGAACTCGGCTGGGTTGTATCTAGTAGCGAGTAGCAAACATAAAATCTTTGTTCCGTCCGCGTGTTGTTTCCACTTATGAAGGCATTTTCGAATTTCCTAAATGTTAAAGCCACAAAATGAGCGCGCGAACACCGTTTTGTTTGAAAGAAAATAAATTGCTGAATATTTTATTGGTTTATCGTGTGCGTTTATCATGCAAAATAAATGGGTGTCCATGTGTTGATCCGCAAATTAAGTATTGGACTGAAAACGGGATGATGGAGTGTGTATGCGTGTGATATATGGCTCTGAATCAATGAACGTTCGCAATGGCAGATAACCTTAATTGACATTTAACAGATAAAAATAAAAGAAGAAGAAGTCGAACAATATGCCGTATATACTTTTGAAAACACCTGAAGCGATTCGGCTCATTATACGCGATGAACGCGCATAGAAACATTGATACTGGGCATCACTGAGTGTGGCTCGTACGATTAAAATGCTTTGACTTTTGATCGTTTTTGCCAATAATAATAATACCCTAAACACTCAATTATGTGAACGGATTAGCTATTCTCTTTAACTCTTTGGTTTTTTTTCACTTCTTCTTCTTCTTTGACTCGCAACTTTTTTCACTGCCACAACAAGATAAGAATTTTATGCAAATGACACATAAAAAGCGGTGTCGCGCGATAGTAATGTCCAGTTCAGGGTTTCATCGATTTTATCGAAAAATTCATCGCTTAGTTTCCTGGATTTATTATCCCGGATTTCTTAATATTTCGACATTCTTTTTTTAGTTCGGGTTTTTTGTACGGGTTTTTTGTAATATTTCTTCATCTCTCTCACTCGCCCGGTCATTCTCCCAGCCATTTCGGCATCAATTTTGCATACGATAATCGATTGGCCTAACTAGCAACCGACTCGACTCCATTTCATGTGCTTTTCATTCAAAAAAACCGAGAAAAAGTGACGAGCAACAAATGAAGAGGAAAAAAAACACAAAACTTGGTGTGAAATCTAACACATAAATACAATATTTAACTCAGACAGATAGAGACAGAAACGCTGTTGCTCTGTCTCATACACATTTCAACAGAACCAACCACCGAACGACCGCCGACCAACCGACCGTCTAAAATTTCATGCACAATCTCGCATTCAAAAGGGAAATTATTTACGTTCAATTATGATATGAATAACTGCGCTAAGTATGTATGTATGTGTGTGTGTGTGAAGTTTCAAATCGCCAAGTATGGAGCACACAATCAAAGTGAATTTTTATTTGTTCAGCAGTTTAAATGCGCACACACGTTATTCCCACCCATTTAAATGGTTTTTGTGTCTGCGCAATTATCCACAATAATAAGCTCTAATCGAACTCATTCACAATGTACTAGCATTGTACCGTCCTATGCGAGTAGCAAATTCAAGGCATTTGCACCGAAACCAAATACGCAAGAATGCCAAAAAGCACGTGTAATGTTTTTTTTCGTTATTTACCTTAGCCAAAATATCATTCGAACAACAACAACAACAACAACAAAAATGAAACGTTTGTATCACTGTTGCAATATTGAACTTTCATAAATTCTGCAATGCAAAATAGTTCTTGCACAGCACGCGAATCGAATGGCTCCAATTGATGAAGCACACAACACATGAATAGAAACAAAAAAAATTGGAGAGAAAAAAATCCAATCTGAAGCGAAAACGCAACGCAGGCGAAAAAGAAAGAGTGCAAAGGCAACCACAAGTTTGATCGACATTGGAAGGTGTAAT